CTTTTGATTTTTGTTTGCTTGGAAAAGTAATTAAATAAAAGTGATTGAAAGAATAGATTTTTATCAACACAAAGTTCAACCAATAGCAAATAGGGGTAGAAATTGGTAACTAATTGTTCAATGCTCATTTGAAAGACATAATTGCTAATTTTATTATTAGATAGATTGTGAGAAGTTGTAGATAAATATTTTAGGACCCAATACAAGTCACCTAAAATAAGTAACTAGTCAACATTTCCCAGTGATGGCCAAAACGAGACTAGTTTTTTAAGTGCAACGACAACCTTAATTATTAACTATATTATTTACCCAACCCCGTGGTGTAAATAATATAATTAAATAATTAAATTCTCCCGTAAAACTTCAATCCGGGACAAGGTAAAAGAAGTTTAACGGTGTGTTCAGAAAGTGTTCATTTGTGTATTTAACAAACAATATGTTTATGATTGAGTACTCATAATATATATCACAAACACAACATAATTAATTTTCTGGACACAACAATCTAAACAGAACAAACTTAACAATTAAAATCAATACAAATTAAAACATGATAAGAACAATTATTTAACCAATTTCTAGCCCCAAATTTATTTAGCTATACATGTTGGGAAGCATAGAAATAGATGAATCCAATCATCCATGATTAAAGTACAAGATTTAATGAGATAAGGAAGATCAAACTTGTGATAGATGACAATCCTTGGAGCTTTGGTTCTAATCTTGATTTAATCTTGGATAAGGAAGTGATTAGTTGTAATTGAAAATGGGTTGATGATTTGGAGTTGAGAAATGAAGAGAGAAGGGAGAGAAATGTTTCTGGGATGTTTAGAGAGAGGTTGGTTCGAAGTTCTGTGTGGAGGAAGATGGATTAAAGCAATATAATGATAAGGTGATTAATCATTAATCGGTGGAATTTACGGAAGAGATAAGCTTATGTAAAACGAAGCGCATAAATGTTACAAAAACACATAGTGGTGCAGTGGCTACGGGAGTGATCAGTTGACTCGGAGGTCGTGGGTTTCATCACCCGGCTGTGACTTTTTTTGTCTTCCTCTTTCTTTTCTTGTATTCAAGTCTAATGAACTTTCCAGCTGACAATTTCAACTTTGACAACTTAGCTCACTGGTTTAAATTGGCTTTTTTTTATGCTTTGTCCTGGGCTCGAATCCTTGCTTCACCTTTTCTAACTTTTGCTTCTTTTCTTCAATTTACTCCTTATTTGCTTTGAATGAAATTCCACTTTTATTTTCTTCTTTAATTATGCACATATGATCCAAATAGCATCAAAAGTACTTGAAAATACAAAATACACGCATAACACCGCACTAATACAAATTAACGACAAATAATAAAAATATGTACAGAAGTACAACTTTAATAACTAATATTATCAACAAACTAGTCATAAAAAGTTTGTAAAATATAAGCACATCAATGGGGTTTTTTGTATCTGATGTTAGTTTTCTCCCACTTAAAATAGATCGTAGAATAGTGGTGTAAGTACGAGTATCGTCTCCACATGGACGGAAAATAGGGAATTAAGTATTAATTAAATTCAGCGATAAAAAAGAAATAAAATAAAATAAATAGTGCGAGGTTTGATTGATTGGAAAATTAACTTGCAATTAAACGAATAGTAAAGCTAAGAGGTTCTTTCTAATTAACGATGAAGGGAACAAGGATTGATTCCAGAGTAATTAGATTTCTGGCTGATCAGGCTTAGTCACATGAAATTAATTTAATTAAGCAACGCTAGTCAATACTATGTTCTAACCGCTCTCACGGCGTAGAGTACAATAATTTAGGGGATCAGGCTGATCTTTCATGCGACAGGATCATGAATTTATTGCCACAACGAGCGACGGTACGGCCCCTTAATCGCTACTAATCTCTTAGCGAACGATTAAGTGTGTGTGAAAGTGTCCTAGAATAAATTAGATCTCTCTTAATTTATTCTACAAGCAAATTGTAATTGTAGTGGTCATTCTAGGTTACAAGAGATATCAATTAAATCATTCACACACAAATTAAATCAAGACTCATGCAATTAATCCATCATGAGTTTAGCCATACATCATGATTCACCCTGACGGATAGTATATTCGGGGATACCGCCGGAGGTTATCTAGAGAGAAGTCAGAACATCTAAGAGAGAGAGAGGGAGTAGATGTGTGTTATAAATGAACTCGAGATTCGGATCCTTTATAATGAAGAAGAGGCTAGCTATTTATAGCTGCCATAAATGCGGTGTAAATAATGCAAGTACATGTGTCAAGCAATCGACGAAGGAGGGTCGATTCAACCAGGGTGGCGCCGACACAACATGCGGCATCACATTAAATGCGGTGGTTGGACGTGACACCGCATTTAATGTGGCGGTTGGACGTGACACCGCATTCAATGCGGCGATTTCAGAACGTGCAGAGAGGAGATCTTGCTCGGGCAGTGCCGAAGGCCCTACGTACCCCGGAGGCGTTCATGTGCCGAAGGGCGCACGTATCCGGAGGCTTTCATATGTCGAAGGCCGTACGTAGCCGGTAAACTACCATGTGCTGAAGGATGTACGTACCCCGGGATTTCAATGTGTCGAAAGTCGTACGTCCCTGGGGATCGTCATGTGCTGAAGGATGTACGTACCCTGCGGGCTTTCATGTGTCGAAAGTCGTACGTCCATGGGGACCGTCACGTGTTGAAGGTCTACGTTTCTCGGGGCCCTTCATGTGTCGAAGGACGTACGTAGCTAAGGGGCTGTCATGTGTTGAGGGACGTACGTCCCCTGGGGCCTTCATGTGTCGAAGGACGTACGTCCCCTGGGGCCTTCATGTGCTGAAAGCCGTACGTCTCCTGGGGCCTTCATGTGTCGAAGGACGTACGTCACCTGGGGTCTTCATATGCTGAAAGACGTACGTTCCCTGGGCCTTCATGGGCTGAAAGACGTACGTCCATACTAATGTTTCTGGACCAGGTGCAACTGTTTCTGGACGTACGTACCTTGTTGTAGTATGGGCTGTCTGAAGTCCTGTTTGCTATGTTTGGGCCACTTGGGCCTGATTCTAGTAGTGGAAGTATGTGGGTCGGGGGTTCCTGGGCCATATACTCCATCACATCCCTTCATCAATCCCAAATCCCTAATTAAAATTTACTCACAACTCATAATTGAAGAATCAATAGAATTGAGAAGAATAGAATTAATTGTCAATAATTAAAAAGCAGGAACCTACAAATAATCCAAGGGAATTGAAGAACAAGATGGAAAAGTAGAAGAAATTTCATACCTAGGCCTTTCTCTAAGATACCTAACCAAAAACAGGGGTTTACGGGGTGTTTAAATAGAGAACAGATCAATCCAGGCCGAAATATGACTTCTGGGGGCGAAAAACTGCCAGGCACGGCGTCCCTACCTGGCAGGCACGACCGTGCGTGCCCTTAACTTCCGAATTTGATGATGCTTCCTTCGTGAAAGTTTTAGATATTGAAGTCCTTTATCCACCACAACTTGCAAAACTGAATTTGAATCATTCGATCAAAAGATATGAATAAAATGGTGGGGTGTCGCATCCTGAAATCGCAACAACGATCATCTGACTTCATCATCTGTTTTCACCTTGCTTCTCTCATATTCTGTTGGGAATATTTTATGGTTTCCAATCTATTTAAATATCTTTGTATTTTCGTATTAATTATCTATCTTAATATAAAAGAAAAATCTTTTTGGCACTATTTTTTCAACAGTGTTCCCGCCCCATAAGAGCTCTGGCATCAGTTATTACGTAAATATCCCTGTGAAGGTTAAATTGTGGAGGGTAAAATTGCACAAAAGTAATGTATCATTACAGTAAACAGTTGCCACGAAAAATTACAAAGGAAATTGCGTAAATGGTTCTGGGAAGGTTACATTGTCAAGGGTAAAATTGTACATTTTGAATTCATCATTACAGTAAACAGTCCAGCCATAAATATACAGATATTAAAGGTAACAATTGCTTTATCATGTCTCTTCAATATTACTTTTCCTTGATGGAATAGGGATCTCCATCCGGTTTTGGTGGCAGGGCATAGTACCTTTTCTGAAATAACCCCAACCTTTTAGAGAAAATAAATACACATAAATATCTGTATGTATAGTGAATGGACAATGCATGTGAGTTTCCTATAAATACCCATGCAATCCATCATTTTTTACTATCCCTTCCTTGAGTTCTCTTCTAAAAACTTTATATCTCAAAATGGTTGGCATGTGGTCTCTAATAAAGGAGATTGACCAAGAAAAAACTTCTTGGACTGTCAAAGTAAGAGCTGTTCGGGTTTATGCCACCCCAGCCTATGGGATTCATGGTGAATCCTTGCACTGCATTTTCCATGATGCCGAGGTTAATTTTTTAAATTTCAGTTTAATTTATAAAAGATGTAGTGAATGTATGAACTAAACATGTGTCTACACAGGGAACAAGAATACATGCACACATTGGGAAAACCCAGGTTCCAAAGTTTGAGTCATTGTTCAAGGAAGGAAAAGTTTATGCAATTAGATATTTCCTGGTCCAAGACAACTATATGAATTTCAAGACAACAAGGAATGCTTATAAGTTACTATTTCTCTATAAAACTGAAGCATTAGAGATTTCAAAAATCGATTTCCCATTGAGGATGTTTGACTTTACATCTATTGGTGCCTTGCAAGCTGCAGAAGCGGTTGATGAAACCCATGCTATAGGTGATTTTTTCATAAAAATATGAGGTTTTATTAAATGTTTGTTTGAAGTAAATAATCATTTATGAAAATTATGATCATTTTTAGATGTCATCGGCAAGGTAACATCGATGTCAAACCCGAAGGCACTACCGAAGAACGGTAGGCAAACTCAGTTGGTGGATCTCACCCTCGGTGATGCTCAGTAAGTACTTCTAACTATCTATTCATATTGCTGTAATATTAAATGCTCAAAGCTATCTATCTATGTTATTATGTAGTGGGAATACTATTTCTTGCACTCTATGGGAGGACTTGGTGGATCAGTTTGTAGATTTTTTGAAGACAAAACCTAAGAAGATCTTTCTTATTCTTCAATTGTATCGTGCAAGGAAATTTCAGGGTATGTGAATAGCTAAATAACATTTTGAGTTTGTATATTTTTTCAGTTTGTATATCTATGCTTCACAGTTTATGTTTTTTAGGTCGTGTGGGTATAACAAACATGTTTAATGTGACAAAGATGCTGTTGAATAGTGACAGTGAGGAGTGTGTGGAGTTTAAAGCGACGTAAGGAATTCCTAAAGAATTTAAACTAAAATTTGTTGATTATAGTGTAATCAACTCTTTACAAAAATGACATAGGTTTGGGCCAGATAATGATGATGATGATGATGATGGCGATGTTCTAGCCCTAGGCAGTTTCGTGACCCCTACTCATCAAGATGATGTAGCAAACGGTGAAATCAACTTGGTTTCGATTGATGATCTAATGAAAATGAAAGAGGTTGTGATATTGTATATGAAATTCATTATAAAATTATGGATGTAATTTGATAGGTACAAACTGATAGTATTTTTACTACGTATTTTTAATTATATAGGATGGGAAACATTGGATCTATGGAGAGATTTTGGCAATAGACAGTTACCGAGACTGGTCCTATATTTCTTGCAAGGGGTGCAGTAGAAAAGTGGCGTCTCAAGGTGGTAGTTTCAGGTGTGGAGTTTGCAACACCACAGAAGTGGTTTTAAGGTTATAATTTTTTTCTCATTCAGTTTTTAAACTGCTAGCACTCAGACATACACTAATGTTTTGGGAATTTTCAGGTACAAGCTGAATGTTAGGGTGATGGATGAAACTGGTCATGCTTCATTTGTGTTTTGGGACAAAGAATGCATTGCTTTGGTGGGAAAGACCGCAAATACTCTCCATGAAGATATTGAGAAGGTTTTCTAAAATATATGTTTCAATGTTTAAAGCTGATAATTAATGAATATTCAAAGTTTAATATGTTTAAGTTTGTGGAATATGCAGAAAGATGTGGGACCTTACTATTTTCCAGTTGAGATTGATGCGTTGGTTGAAATTAAGGGGTTGTTTCGAGTTCAGACTAAGAGAGAAACTATAAGCTACAAGGGTGTGGCAACATTTAGTGTAATTGGAATGAAATGTGATCCTGCCGTTGTGTCTTTGTACAAGAACAAAGGAAAATCAGTGGAAGATGAAGATGATTTCACACTGCTCAAGAAGGAGTTTTCTGTGTCTGAGAAAGTATGTGTGCTTATGTCTTATAATTTTTTTTAAATAAAACTTTGTGATTAGATTTTTAGTTTTTAATAATTACTACCCCATTAAATTTATAAAACTTCTGGGCCTAAAGTCATTTAAACTTGGCAGGTCACGCTACTTGATGAGGAGGAGACAAGCCCCCTGTTGATAAAGGAACAAAGGATAGCACTTAAGGTAGACAATGATGGCATCAAGAGGAAGCTATTTGTTGAGCCCACCCCATTTGTCCAGCCAGTGAAGAGGTTGAGGAAAGTGAAGGTGGAAAAAGAGTAGGAGTGGAAAATGACTATGTTTTTGGCAAACTGATGTACAGTATACGTGCATCATTTGTATGTTTTTGTTCCATGGACCACTACAAACATCTCTTGGTGTCTGTGTAATATCTAAGGAAAATGATTAGGTTATGATACAAACTTTTGATGTTGATTACTTGCTAAGTAATTTATTTTCATCCTAAGTTTGTAAGGAATGGCGTTTTTTGCTACGTGTTATGTAACCTATTCTTAATCTAATGCATGCCGGTTGTGTTCGATTTTTGAGTTGCGTAAATACTTTCTCTAACAGTATATTTTTTTGTGGTGTTAATGATGGTGTGTTAGATTGTTATCAAAGGTTTGCGAACCAACATCCACAAAGCTTAGAGTTTTAAGCCTGAATAATTCCCCTACCTCAAGGTAGGCTACCTTGAGGGAATTGTTGAGCATAATTAGGAAAATATCTCCTAATCCAACAGTATAATATAGTGTTTGTATATTTAAATTTAAATATCATAAATGGTATCCATATTTGAAAAATAGTTTCGAGGTCATTATAAATAAAAGTAGAAAACAGTTTACTATGCATTTAGTATTTAGCAGGAATGCATTCAACACTAACTATGGCTATACATATAATTAAGTTTGTATACTTAAATATCATAATTACCGATGGGTAATACTTAAGGGTTTATTGTTGGGAAATATAACTATAAATAACCAAGTTAGTTAGGTTTTACTCCCTCCGTCCCAAATTGTTTTGCAAAGTCAACATTTTTTGGTCAACCAATAAAAAAGTCAATGCTCCCTATCGATAATTAATTCAAATTTTAATAATTCAAATTTATATATTCAGAAACCACATTAAAATCTCTTCAAAGTTGCAAACTCCAAATAAAATGAAACTGTTTGACCAAGAAAAGTCAAATTTGCAAATTAATTTGGGACGGAGGTAGTATATGTTAAAGAACTATATGTATTGTCTTTAAAAAAATTAATATCGTAGTACGTAATGACGGAAAATATTTTGATAAGGTATGTAACATGCAATATCAATTGCAATGCAACATTAGTTAGACCTCAAATCTATTTTGACAAAAAATAATCAAATCAAATTACAGGCACGTGTATAGTACTCTACATGCATGCCATTTTGCAGTATACAAGTGGCAGTCAGAATTGACGGGTCATATTCAAGAGTTTTTTTTGCCTAAAAAACTGTTTAAGCTAGATTACCGAAAATATTTTTGTAAGATATGTTATATGCAATATCGAATGACAAATGAAATTGCAATGGAAGGTTAGTTATTAAATGGAAATATGTATTTTACAACTTATATTTGTGAATAATGTAATAAAAAAATACTATTATAATTTATATTTTATTCGTGATAATATTTAAAAAAATTAATTACGAACAAAAATGTATGTACTACCATTTATAATTATTCAGTATCATAATTAATATAGCTCACGCTGGATAAGTGATTTAATTATCACAATGTCTAGAAATTACCTTTCACAACTGATGTGGTAGCAAAAGGCAGCCATTTTGCAGATCATACGGCCCAGTCAGATTTGAGAAGTCAGATATAAGGTATTTATTACGGAGTATGAAATATCAAATACCAAATCAAATAAGAATGAAAGGTTAGTTATTAAATGGAAATATATATTTTATACTACCATTTATAATTATCCAGTATCATAATGAATATAGCAAAGACTATATAAGTAGGTTCAATTATCACAATGTGTATAAATTAACTTTTCACAACACATGTGACAGAAAATCCCAAATCAAATTACAATGGAAGGTTAGTTATTAAATGGAAATATATATTTTGTAATTTATATTTAACAAATTTAATAAATAATGTAATAACAAAATACTATTATAATTTATATTTAATATTTTATATTTAATTTGTGATAATATTTATCATACTGCATTACAAATACAAATGAAAGAACTACCATTTATAATTATTCAGTATCATACTTAATATAGCTCACACTATATAAGGAGGTTCAATTATCACAATGTCTAGAACTTCACTTTTCACAACTGATGTGACAACAAAAAGCAGCTGCTTTCCAACATATAGGCCCCAGTCAGATTTGAGAAGTCATAATAATGGTTTTTTGGCCTCAAAAAGTGTTTGAGCTAGATTATCGAAAATATTTTTATAAAAAAAACTTGAGATATGCAATATGCAACTTCTAATTTTTCCATTTGTAGTCCTCGACTATTGTGCTAGAGACACTTTTAGTCCCTGACTTCAAGGTTTCCCACATTTAGTCCATGAGTATTGTCAAATTGACACTTTTAGTTCTCCCATCATGATTTTAATATAATAAGTGGAGGACTAAAAATGTCACTATTATAATAGTTGGAGGACCAAAAGTGTCACTTTTATAAAAGTTGAAGGACTAAATATGAAAATTTTCAAATACGGGTACCAAAAGTATCTCTAGCGCAATAGTCAAGGACTAAAAATGGAAAAAATCAAAGTCGAGTACCAAAAATGTCTATGACATAATAGTCGGAGGACTAAAAGTGGAAAAAACTCATTAACACAATGTCTAGAAATTAGCTTTTCACAACTGATGTGACAGCAAAAAGGCAGCCGTTTGCACCATATAGGCCCCAGTCAGATTTGAGAAGTCATAATGATGGTTTTTTGGCCTCAAAAAGCGTTTGAGCTAGATTACCGAAAATATTTTTATAAGGTATGTAATACGGAGTATGCAACATCAAATACGAAATCAAATTAGAACGGAAGGTTAGTTATTAAATGGAAATATATATTTTGTAATTTATGTTTAATAAATTTAATACATAATGTAATAACAAAATGAAATTATAATTTATATTTAATATTAATAATTTATATTTAATTCTGATAATATTTATCATACTGAATTACGAATACAAATGAAAAAACTACCATTTATAATTATTCAGTATTATAATTAATATAGCTCACACTAGATACGGAGGTTTAATTATCACAATGTCTACAAATTAGCTTTTCACAACTGATGTGACATCAAAAAGGCAGTCGTTTTGCAGCATATAGGCCCCAGTTAGATTTGAGAAGTCATAATAATGGTTTTTTGGCCTCAAAAAGCATTTGAGCTAGATTACCGAAAACATTTTTATAAGGTATGTAATATGCAACATCAAATACGAAATTAAATTACAACGGAAGGTGAGTTATTAAATGGAAATATATATTTTGTTATTTATGATTAATAAATTTAATAAATTATGTAATAACAAAATACTATTATAATTTATATATAATAATTTATATTTAATTCTGATAATATTTATCATACTGAATTACGAATACAAATGAAAAAACTACCATTTATAATTATTCAGTAACATAATTAATATAGCTCACACTAGATACGGAGGTTTAATTATCACAATGTCTACAAATTAGCTTTTCACAACTGATCTAACAACAAAAAGGCAGCCATTTTGCAGCATATAGGCTCCGGTCAGATTTGAGAAGTCATAATGATGGTTTTTTGGCCTCAAAAAGTGTTTGAGCTAGATTACCGAAAATATTTTTATAAGGTATGTAATATGCAATATCAAATACCAAATCAAATTATAAAGGAAGGTTAGTTAATAAATGGAAATATATATTTTAAAATTTTTATTTAATAAATAACATAATAACAAAATACTATTATAATTAACACTTATTCCTGATCATATTTATCATGCTGAATTACGAATAAAAATGTATGTATCAGCATTTATAATTATTCAGTATCATAATTAATATAGCTCACACTAGATAAATAGGTTTAATTATCACCATGTCTAGAAATTAGCTTTTCACAACTGATGTGACAGCAAAAAGAGAGCCGTTTCGCAACATATAGGCCCCAGTCAGATTTGAGAAGTCATAATGATGGTTTTTTGGCCTCAAAAAGTGTTTGAGCTAGATTATCAAAAATATATTTTTATAAGGTGTGTAATATGCAATTTCAAATACCAAATCAAATTACAATGGAAGGTTAGTTATTAAATGGAATTATATATATTTAATAAATAATGGAATAACAAAATACAATTATAATTAATATTTTATCTTTAATTCCTGATAATATTTATCATACTGAATTACCAATAAACATGTAAGAACTACGGAGTACCATTTATAATTTTTTAGTATCATAATTAAAATAGCTCACACTAAATAAGTAGGTTGAATTATTACAATGTCTAGAAAAGGCAGCCATTTTGCAGCTCATAGGCGGCACTCAGTTTAAAAAGTCATAATGATGGCTTTTCGGCTTCAGAAAGTGTTTAAGATCTAAAAGGTGGCATACAGATTTGACAGGTCATAATGATGGCTTTTTTGCCACAAAGAAGTGTTTAAACTAGATCTAAAAGATATTTTGACAGGTGTTATTGCATGCATTGAGATGATTTGACTTTGAAAACATCATTAGCACACATTGGATAACCAAATGAAAAAAAGGGCTGACAGTTAAAATTAATGGGCCACCGTTTCCACCAGTCGTATTACCCTTTTTGCTGGATCATGAGTTTAAAACAATGATGATGATAGTGCGAACAGTAAACATGCTTCGATATAAATAGAGTGCTCACCTACTTTATTTCTAAAACTCTCCACATCAAGTCCATTGACATAGCATTGAAGTTATTGTGTTGAAGCTTTTGGTGTACCTGCATTAGGTAAAAGAGCTTCTAAATTTATTATCCTTGACATCTACCCTTACTTAGTATTTATGATGGCAACTGCCTTTAAATGCTTAAGTTTCTTCTTAAAACATTAATATATATTGAATATTTATTATGGTAACTACCTTTAAATGTACAATTTTCTTTTTCAACAACTAAACTTTATAACCATTTACTCCGTACAGAAGAAAACTAATGCATGCATGCCTACTTTTTTTACTCAAAATCTTATGAATGTCATTTTGAAATTATGTGTAGAGGAACATGTGGAAAACAGTTTTTCCAAATATGATTTGTAATGTCTGCGGAAACAGTGAATGGGGGCATCTCATAGTGATGTGTGATGTATGCACAAATGCCCGACACCGCTACTGTATGTACGAGGTGTCTTTTGATCCTGATTTTAGGTGGATGTGTGAAGAATGTTTAGATCATATTCACCAAATGTCGGAACTGGACTCTTTTGGCATGATCCCTGAGATTAAACGGGAAGTTGAAATGGATGATGATCAGCCATTTCAATTTCACGTGAAGGA